TTACAGCATGGCATGCAGCATGGCATGCAGCATGGCATGCAGCATGGGCAGAACATGCACATGTATACATACTGGTACATGTAGATCCATGTTGTCCTAGTTTCATTGCAGGAACTTTTACAACCTAGGGACCTGTTTATTAACATGTTGTAGTCACCCCCACAAAAATAGAAGACTACGTTACAATCATTTGCCATTTTTTGTTGAGTAGGATGTTACTTTCTATATGTTTTTTATTTTGTTTGGTGTTGTTGTATATTATACAAGGTGGCCTCCTAGTTATCCCCTAGTTATAATGTGGTTTATAAAACCCCTTTAACTAGTTTGATATATCTACCATAAACCACAGAATTCACCAATCCTAAATTGTTCACCACCTTTGTTGCAAAAAAAGAGAACAAAAACTATAAATTCCATGTGTTTGTTTGTTAAATCCTCATTTCCCACATTTTTTTGTTGGTGAAACTCCGATTTCCCCCATTTCCCATGTCTTATCCCTTAACAAACTGCCCACAGGCTCCGCCTGGGGCGACTGGGCCAACTACACCGACTCTCCCCTGCGAGCCTTTGAGAACGAGACTGGTGTGCCATGGCCATGGTGGTACCCGAGCCAGCCATAGCCTTGATGGGCTGTAGATATCAACAGACTGGGATATCTCAGGGATACCCTCCAGTCATCATGGCCATGGCGGCTGGGAAATCCACGACAATTTTGAACATGGAGATTTGTATAGATTCTATGGATGGGAAAATCATCGAAGTAAATCGTGGATTTTTTTAGCCAGCCAAGTTTGACTACCAGAGGGTAGAGGGAAATATCACAGGGATACAGTGTTTCTGGAAAAACATGTTAGTATCGTCCCAAGTCCGTAATTTGAACGTGTAAAATTATCTGTGCAAGCATCCAATTTTGGGGTGCCCTATTCTCAGACAAACCCAGTTGAACCAGTTGAAACACATTCAACTGTTGGTTGATTATATGGGGATTTTTGGGACCACGGGTTTTCAACCACTAGAAAGAGTTGGGATATCATTGATGATGGTTGGCAACAATATTTTGTGGATTATAGCACTTGGGTTACCTTCTGGTAATTCAACATAGCTATTAAAAATACCACATTTATAGTTGATCTACCTATTCAAAATGGTGTTTTTCTATAGCTATGTTAGTTTACCAGAGGGTAATAATATATGATAGGGAGTGTCAACTAACCCATTACCATTTTGGGATATCCATTGACCAAGCAGTGCAATGGGATGGGATAGTGTCTAATTGAAGATATCAGCAGTAAACCTGCGGGTACTATTAATATACATCTATATAATTATAATATATATAAATATATTGATATATAATTATACATATACATATATATATATACATACATATACATACATATATATATATATTTCATCCTGTTTGATATATAAGCTGTGGATAATGTGTGATTGTCGATACCTACGATCAATTGCTGCATAATAACTCTGAAGAGTCAACCAGATTACAACAGGTACTACTCGACCCGCCTGTTCTGTCACTTGCGGCTTCACCACCTATGTTTTTTACCATGGAACTCTTTGACCCCTTCGAACAAAGACATGTTGTCAGCGGCTGTATGGAATATAACATACACATATATATATATATGTACAGCATTATAATGTGTATATATATATATATATACATACGCATACTCATACACCTGGAGATCAACAATGACAATGAGAAACACATGGTCAGATCCTGAAGCTGCAGGTGCAGCCACCTGTCGGCTTCTGGGACCCCTTGGGCCTTTCGACCAGCGGCAACCTCTCTGTGACCTGATGGTGATTTAATGAGATTTTTACTAGGATGGCAGATGGGATACAATGAATAGATATGAACAATTTCATGCTGCTTAGTGAGGATTGATGTTAATTCAACAAAATGATGATTTAACCGAAAAATAAATATGGTGATATACCGGCGATATAGAGTGCCCCGACCCTCATATGATATGTGGTTTGGCTGAAAATGCAGTATCCTACCAGTAATTACATGGCCAGCTAATTGGGATGAATTTGGTTTTACACTGTTTTAAACCATGGGGCACCATATGTTCAAACAAACCAAAAGCAGTGCAGCTGTAAGGCAGTAGGAATATGTAGGAACTCAGCACACTCAGCAAGTCGTAACATGTTTGAGTCGGTTTCAAGCGTCTTTGGTCTTGCGAGTGAAACCAACAGCCAGGTAATGTCCAATTGCATTTTCACGAGTGGAGCAAAATGTGTGAAGCTCTTGAAATATCTTGACATACAGTGACATACAACAAATATCATTGATCACATATCATACAGTGACATAAGTGACATACAACAAATATCAGTGACATACGGTGACGTACAGTGACATACAACAACCTACTGTAGCTAGCGACGCGACAGCTTTTCACATGTCTTCAGGACTACAAGAGGAGGAGAGAGGTGGAGCTGAAACACGGCAGAGTTTGGAGTCTCAGAGGTGGCACCACCCCAATCCCCAAGGCTATTGGTAACATAAAATATGTTGGATTCACTTGGATCCTATTGGATCTTAGGGTGTTTAACATTTGAATGAATCAATTGACGAGGTGTGTTGGTTGGTTTTGTATGGTTAAAAGTGTAAGTTGTTTTTGGAGTTGAGAAATCCAGTCATTGTATTTACATTTATAAATGATTTCAAGTTATTCAATGCAGTTCGGGGGCGAGTTTATGATCAAAAAGTGCTTTGATTGGAACACAGATGGTTTCAATGCCGTGACGATGAAAGCATCACTGATGATCCCATTGACAGCGCCGAGCCCCGAAGAGCAGCATTTGCCGAGGTTGCCATGTTCGCCACCATTGGCTATATCCTCCCTGAATACTGGAGGCTGGTGCATTTGTCATTCCGAAAAATGGAGAAGTTTCGATGGGTTTCTGGTTGGTGGCTTCAAGTTTTATTTGGATGCTGCAAATGCCATACGTACGCTGTTGGAAAGATCATGTGCATATGTATAATGTATAGAATAGTTGACAATAATAGGGATCACGTAATTATCATAGTAATATTAATAGTAATAACAATCACAATGATTGCAACAATAACGGTAATATACCATCATACATATTAGTACACAAAGTAATTGCACCACATAAATAATAGTCAATCTAATAGTATATAACAATACTTTAAAGGTGTTATAACATGATATAACTTTATAGGTTATAACCCCACTAACCATTTAGAATTTTCCAACCTGATCCAGCCTGATCCACCGCCAGATTCCCCGGCTATTTGTCCAAGTTCCTGGACATCAAATTCTCGGAGGTTCCCAATGGCCTGAGCGCTTTCTCCAAGGCCTGCAGCCTGCAAGGTTGCTGTAGGAAATTTGCTAGGTTTATCCCTCAGCACAAACGTGGCTAGCAAGGAAATCCCGAACTCAATGGAGGCTTTAAGGGGAGAATCATCGAGAAATAGTGGATTTTCCACGATTTTCCATGACTACACAGTTAGAATCAGTTAGATTCTATACCCAGTCCTTGGGGAATAGTCATACCAACATGTTCTCATAGGGATTCATATATCCATTATCATGAATCCGAAATTATGGATGACCATACCCGGTTAATCCCATGTGTTGACCGTATTTCAGGTTGGTGAATGGCAAAAGATTCAGATACCTTCTATCATCCTTAGGGGGCCATCCTTTCTCAGCTAATGGCCCCGTTTGGGGAATCGTAGTGTACCATATATATATATGTCATATATATATATATATGTCATATATATATATGTCATATATATATATATATTTATATATTATACATGTTTGTTTGAACAAGAAAACACGTGAATGCGTGATGTGTGCATTCAACAATTTGCTAAATGTCTAAATCAAACAATCATCCATATACGAACCATGTGGTGATGGTTCGAGGATGTAGGTCAAGAATTATGATGATCTAAGTAGTGCTTGACCTGCCACAAAAAAGTCAAGCACTTTATGACCGAGGATATTCACTCACTATATCTATATCTATATATATATATATACATATATACCTAGACCCTCCCGATACCCCCAAAAAGATTGTAAAAGTACTAAAATGATAGGGTAAACACAATTTTTATGAGTACAAACGGAGGGTCTAGAGTCTAATATATATATATATATATACACATTTAAAAAATATATATAATATATACATTAATATTTATATATAATATGCATATATATATATAGATATACATTAATATATTCATATATATATATATATTTAATTATTAATATATATATATATGGTCCCGTCCTCCGTCTCTCCACCCCCCCTCCCACCCATGGGTTGGGTCCCCAGGTAGCACCCCCCTTCCCTTCTATTTGCAAGCTATGGCAGCATTTCTGAGGTCCAGCTTCGTATTTGCTAGGTCTTTGCAGCATTTCTGACTACCAGCCTCGCATTTACTAGGTACATGCTACCTTTTAGGCGACCTACGTAGCACACATACTCCTTCAAAGTACCTACGTGCTACCTATAGTCATATATACATGTGCTATGTATCTACTGTATCTACTTCCTATTTACTACCTGTGTACTCTGACAACACTACCTGTGTTTAACATATACCGTACCTACCATACATGTCAATGATGCTTTGCATACCATACCTATCATATCTATCATACATACCATACATACCATACATATGAAATGTAATTACCACACCTACCATACATACAATAGCAAACATACATGCCATACATACCATACCTACCTTACATAGGAAATATTCCATGTCCATCATAGCAACCATACATACCATGCAGACCATACCTACTGTCATATCAAACATACTATACCCAACAGACTTACATACCATACCTACCATCCATACAATACCAACCACTCATGCCATACATACCATACCTACCATACATACCAAACATACCATACTTTCCAAACATGCCATACCAGACCGACCATACACACCATACATACCAAATATACCATACCACACCCCCACCACACCACGGGGGGGAGGGGGACAGTACCACACCCCCACCATACCACACCCCCACCACACCATAGGGGGGGGGAGGGGGAGAGTACCACACCCCCACCACGCCACAGGGGGGGAGGGGGACAGTGCTGTGTCCCCAGGTAGCACCCCCCTTCCCTTCTATTTGCAAGCTATGGCAGCATTTCTGAGGTCCAGCTTCGTATTTGCTAGGTCTTTGCAGCATTTCTGACTACCAGCCTCGCATTTACTAGGTACATGCTACCTTTTAGGCGACCTACGTAGCACACATACTCCTTCAAAGTACCTACGTGCTACCTATAGTCATATATACATGTGCTATGTATCTACTGTATCTACTTCCTATTTACTACCTGTGTACTCTGACAACACTACCTGTGTTTAACATATACCGTGCCTACCATACATGTCAATGATGCCATGCATACCATACCTATCATATCTATCATACATACCATACATACCATACATATAAAATGTAATTACCACACCTACCATACATACAATAGCAAACATACATGCCATACATACCATACCTACCTTACATAGGAAATATTCCATGCCCATCATAGCAACCATACATACCATACAGACCATACCTACTGTCATATCAAACATACCATACCCAACAGACTTACATACCATACCTACCATCCATACAATACCAACCACTCATGCCATACATACCATACCTACCATACATACCAAACATACCATGCTTTCCAAACATGCCATACCAGACCGACCATACACACCATACATCATGAACTTCCACACTACCCCCCCCCGTACTACCCTACAAAAACTTTAAGGATTTGACCATTTGTGGATTCCTTATTAGTATACTAATAAGATATTATTAGTATGCTAATAAGGAAAAAAGTCTCATTCTGGGATACAACCCTTAAATGTATATTATTAGCATACTAATAATATGCTAATAGTAGCTTAAATTTAGATAGTAATTAAGGCCTAAAATCAATTACGTGTGATTTTGTATCCCATTCCTTATTAGTATACTAATCCGGTCTACATTAAGAAAAGTGCCTTTTTGGTTATTAGTATCCTAACAAGGATTTGTATCCCCAAATCATACAAAAACTTAATAGTATGCTATCAATGCAATTTGCATCCTTATTAGGATACTATTAAGTTTTTGTATCCAAGCCCGGCCCTGGGGGATACAAAAAAATAATAGACATCTAATAAGGTAAAATCTTATCCCTTTCAATCATTATTAGGGCACTATTAAGTTTTTGTATCCAAGCCAGGTCTTTCGGGATACAAAAAAAATAGTTACCTAATAAGGTAAAATCTCAGTCCTCCCAATAATTATTAGGGCACTATTAAGGCTTTGTATCCAAGCATGATCTTGGGGGATACAAAGAAAGTGTAAAAACCTAATGGGCCTCTAGTAAGGAGCAATTGTGGATTCTTTATTAGGGGGCTATGTAGAGAGTGTATACACAACTCTTAACTGTAACCTGAAAAGGGTTTTATGGAAATCTCTTCAACCTTTTTATTTTTGGGGTAATTTGCAAGTCATCCCTGAAGCGCCTTCCACTTCCAAGCTATCATCAGCAGTGTGGATGTCTCTGCTACCATTTTGCTTAATGTGACATGTCACAACGGTATTCGTTGCATAATGCTTTGTGGCATATTTTGGTTAGGTTGGTTAAGGGATGTCGGGAGATATGAGGGAGTTGCGCCATCTATGTCCCCAAAAGGCAGCTTGAAGTTGAAAAAAGAATATGGAGGCAAAACCACCAGGAAAGACATCAGAGCTATCCCAAGACGGGATGTTTTCATAAACGCTCACCAACGCGCGCGCGCGCGTTGGCCCAAAACGCTCACCCCGACTCGCTGCATTGGGATCACCGCCCCGGGGAGACTCCACGGGGAGACACAACGGGGAGACACAAAGGGGAGACAAAGGGGGGAAAGAAAGGGGGGAACAAAAAGAAACAGCAAAATGAAAAATGTCACTTTTATACTTTTATAGTTTGTAAACAAGAAAAGCTGCTTTGTAACATATTGAAATGTTAAAATTGTGCATATGTGCTGAATAATTTGATATTTTTTAAGAATTATTTCTACCCAAAATTCTGTCCACAACCAATGTTAAAACACTCAGTGGATCATGTTCAAGGTATTGCAATGAATTTTTACCGCATTTCTTTTAAACATGTTTGTCAAAATATGTTGAAAAATGAGATTTCTGTCCATAAATTCTGCCCGCAATCAGTTTTAAAACATTCAGTGGTTCATTTTCAAGGTGTTGCAATGAATTTTTAAAAGATTTAAATGCGATTTAAGGGACATAGATGGCGCAACTCATAAAACTATTAAGGTTTACTTCCGGCACGGTCTAAAACTTAAGAAAATTCATAGGGTAATTAGCTTTAAGCAAGCAGATTTTTAAAACCATACATTGACTTCAACACTGAAAAGAGAAAGAATGCTAAAACTGAGTTTGAAAAAAATGTTTAAGTTAATGATTAACAGTGTATTTGGTAAAACAATAGAGAATGTAAGAAAGCACGTTTATTTTGAATTAGTTGATAATCCCGTTAGATTTCAAAAACTAGTCAATAAACCAACCTACAAACATAGACATACTAATAAGGATTAACCAAAAAGTTGATCTCCACAATGTTGTATAAAATCTTATTAGACATCTATAAATGTAACACTTCCTTATTAAGAACCTACTAATCTTGCATACAAAAATCATTCCCCATCAATTTTGTATAAAACCTTATTAGGCATCTATTAATGCCAAAAATCCTTATTAGGACCCTAATAAGATGTTATACAAACAAAAAAATGTATAAAACTTATTAGCATGCTAATAAGTTTTTTCATTATTAGCATACAATCTCTTAGGGTAGTACGGGGGGGGTAGTGTGGAAGTTCATGAATACATACCCAACATACCATACCACACCCCCACCACACCACCGGGGGGGAGGGGCAGTGCCACACCGCCACCACACCACAGGGGGGGAGGGGGAAGATCTCATATGGGGCCAGTATATGGGACCCATCCCATGGGGGGGGGTGGCAGGGCCTATATATATATATATATAGAGTCATATTTCTACACATCTGGTGTTCCAATGTACTTCACTACTTCACCAGACAATGCCAGGTGCCATCCTTGGGATGGCTGCAGATTGTTGGCTTCGCTGGCATCGTGGAGCTCAACGTGTCTTGCCAGCGGAAACCCATTTGGGTTTTCCCCATGAAATTCATCGGGGTTTTCCGCTGGTTTCCTGTATTGTTTGTCCCTTAAAACCAATCCAATCAGATGGGGTTGATGAGTTGATGATGAAACTTTCATGATAGTTTTCATGATGGTTTCACGATGATTTATTCATGATGTTTTCCTGTTTTACCAACAAAATACCAAGGGATACATACGGGTTCTTGGCAATGGATTCACCCAGGTGATTTGAAGATGATTTAAGGCTCAAATGAAACAGTTAAAAACAATTGGAACAATTTTACGAACAATTGAAACAAGTTTAAACACATTTGAAACAATTTTAAAAGAATTGAAGCACGTTTAAAAACAATTGAAGCAATTGTAAACAATTGCAGGGCTACCCCAGGCTGTGGGGACTAGGAGATGTTCTAAAACCATTCAAATTTAAGCATCAAAACTGGAGACACTTCACTATATTTCAGTATCAAAGCCTGTGACTTCAGTAAGAAAATATCAAAGAATCAATGGAGTGGGTGAAGCTTGGGATTTGGACACCAGTTATGGATCCCGCAGTAGCCGCAGTAGCTTCTTAGGAAGTTTGACTGGGGTCTAGTGACTGGTGGGTTAAGTCCATTCTCAGGACATATTTGGATCCACAGGGAGGAATACTTAGTATTTAGTGTTGTTGTAATCCTCAGATTATTGATGGTGGTTGAGCATTGATGGCTGATGGCTGTAGCCCTGTATTTGTTGAACGTGTACTTCCCATGATGTGCTGGTTGATTCTGGCAGCACACATTTAAGTTGCATATACTGCACGCTTCGTTTTGCTTTCATTCTCGCTGCTGTTCGGCTGGTATACCTGTTTAAATCATTTACTCCTCTCAGACTCCCATTGGTCACAGTTACTACGTGCATTTGTTCCGGCGTCAAACATTTTGGATCTTGTATTGTTCAACACCTAAGAAGCGTAACTTTGCCTGAGCAATACTCCGAGAATTGGTTTCAAGGAACATGTACAGTTTGCAGGAATCATATGTATATAATTGTATGTATTTCTGTGTATATATAACACATATTTGATTACATGTCACTCCAAAAAAACATTATCAAGAACAAATTATCAGGAACTTCCATTTCAAAAATATACCGTTAAGATCCTTTGAGCCATTTAAGCCACTAAACCCAGTGAACTCTCCAGCGTCTGCAGGTCTACAACGACCAGGTGAACGACGAACCCGGCAACTACGGTGCGGGCTTTTTGGGCCTCAGGCCGGTGACACTCTGGAAGATCAACGGATGTGGGGCCCTCGTGGTATACCCTTCGACCCAAAGTTCACTTGGCAAATTCTTTTGGGTTTAGGATATAGCGAACGTGTAAAAACCAACAAACGTAACTGGGGGGGCCACCGTGTAACTGTTGTGTATGGTAGCAATGTAGATAATTATCTGTGATATTCTTTGATATTCTTTTCATTGGTATCCCATGGTATCCCCCATGTTTCTTGTTTTGATTGCCAAAAAGACGGGGTTTCCGACTGGTCCCTTTCGAAACACTGGATGTCAGGTCCATCGGCTTCATGAACGCCGGCATCTCGGACCCCGAGGTTCGAAAGAAGAAGTTGAACGCGGAGCCACCTGGAAGCATCATTTTAAGCGCTGTCGTCATGAACCAATAGAAATGGAGATTTATGCCTCAATGAATACGGTAGATGTATGGAAGACCCTTGAGGTCGGTTTGACAATTAGTGGTAAATAGATGTAAATAGTGTGTTAAAGCGTTTAACCAATATTAGAGACTCAACAAACATATGGTTTCGTTGATGGATCATAAACGATATACATATATCATATATGATATACATAACATTTAGGTATGAGACCTGTTAGTGGGAATATTAATATACTTATAATCATCAAACATGTGATAGACCTTGTACCACAAAGTATGTTTAAGTGTGCTAATTTGGGGTTATTGTAAGGGGCTTACGATTGGGTTTTCTACGTTACGGATTGCATTTCTCAATCCATATCCCAGGAACGAACCATAATTTTCTCGACAATTAACATCTTTTTTTGGCCGAGCTCACCATAAGTGATGGTTACAGGGAAACCACCCCAACAACAAGAATGGTAAATTGGAAACAGTGTTGTTGTGGGTTATCGGTTGAAATGTACCACCCCAACAACAGACTATATATAATTAAGCAATTAATTATAAGTGTTTGTTTTTGCTTTTCGAGTTTGTGAATGGTACGTTTCAATCGCGTGGGGTCATCAACAATAATGGATGGGTTATCCAACAGGAAAGGAATATAGTGAAATTTGTAGAAGAGTAGAACCTGTGTCTTACCCTCTGGTGGTTTAACATAGCTTTGGAACATCAATGAACGTCACCATTTTAAATAGGTAGATCATCTATATATAAATGAACCATTTTCCATAGCTATGTTGAAATTCCAGAGGGTACCAACAAACAACTGGGTATTTGTTTAGTTTTCTGATGTCATGACACGCATTTTCCGGTACCGGGACAAAGTAGGGGCATTCCTGTTCTGCGCTCATCCCTAAAGCTTCAGCCATCACTGTTTCAAATCACACCAACAATTCTCAGCCGTTTTTTTAACTACTGTTTTTTGTGATTGCAGAAGCAAATATACAGTAAATGTTACATAAACTCCCGTTTAATCCATTCCTCTTGGACATGCCCCCGGTCGAAAAACGTTGGCACGGTAGGTTGGCCAACGGCCGTTTGGCCATGTTCGCCATCATCGGAATGTTCTTCCAGGCGACGATGATCCTCCATCATAAGTATGGGTGATGTTCCCAGCTAAGCCTCCATTTTTTTACTTCGCGGAGCTTTTAATTTTCATGTCTGATTACGTATCCAATGAAGATGATGACTAGCTATCGAACCAAATTAAATGGTGTGTTAGTTGAAGTAGTAGTCACTTGTTACCTGATTTACCTGTAGGGCAACACATTTTTTTTGTTTGGCTATACATTGTTTTTCATGTGTGTCACCTTTTGACAATGAATTAGCTCAGTTTCAGACAGAGCATTTTGGTTTTGTCCAACAAATGGTGCATCAGGTGTAGATTTAGCAAACAACAAATGGGAACCACCAGACATTGGGTATTTGATTAATGTATGTGGGTTTGTCGTGGAGGATCTCCGCATTTATGGCAGTTTTAAAAACGGGAAAAGTTGGGTAAAACCCGATACTTTATACCATTGGATTTCAGGGATCCATGAGATGACATGGGTTGACGTCCGAACGGAGGGTGTTGAGACAATTAATACGTCTCAAGATGGCATCCAACATTGGATTGGCGCCGTAGACCATGAACCAGAGTGACCTTCATGTCATTTCTTGTGCAAATCTCAGCGGGTAGAGTACACAACATAAAACACCACTCGGGAATGTCAACCTCGGACACGGACGGAGCCAGCTTGGTAGCAGTAGTAGATTACATCACTGGGTTTTGTCCACCCTAATAAATCAACCCAGGGTTTATTAAGTTTTAATAGCAGATGACGTCATTATTTGGGGGGTTGACACCCCTAATTAATCAACCAGGGGTTATTTACAGAACACGGGACTGTGGGAGACCATTTTTTTTGCTGCATATGGCTTATAGTCGTAAAAGCCTTAAAACCTTGCTAATCACAAGCCACACATGAATTAGCATGTGAAACCTTAACCTATATTAAACCCACACCACCAAAAACAATGAAGAACACACGATTAAAAAAAACTCCAAAGCTCTCAAAAAAAGCAACACATTAATCATTAAACAATAACCCTATGTTCCAGCCACTCATGGACCCCCTTTGACTGTTTTTTTTTGTTTGGGTTTTATCGAACTCTTGACTAATATTCCTGAAAAAAATCGTCAGGAACGATTGTCCATGTCTACTCAGCCACATCTCAAGGAATGCTGTGCATCGACCATTGCACCTTTTGAAGGCAATACTGAATGTGCATCACACACTGCATATGTTGTAGGAATCTGGTGTTTTGAAAAAGAGAAACTGTATGATTGAAGGCTTAATATTACTATGATATGAAGACTGCACTTCTACAGAAAGGAACACTGCATGTTTAGAGGAATGCTCTATATTTCGTAGGGATACTGTTTCTTGAAAAACTTATGCATTGTCTTGAAGGAACATTGCAGCTTATTAATAAAAGGTATATTACGAAATGAAGACATCGCTTCTGCCACGGGAACACTATATCTTTTACATGAA